GTGAATTTGGGGTGACCTTGGGAAGATTTATGGATGGTTGAGAAGAATCTCCTGCCAGATCAGATACACCCTGGCTCTCTTCTAGTGGGAATGGGGATGTTTTTAATGAGTGTTTAGCAATGCAATGGCTCACACATGGGAGCGGCAGGGTTGCTGGAGTCAGGAGGGCTGCAGAGGTTTGTTAGGAGCACAGCCAGTTGTGTAAAACTCCTCACTCCCCACTCTCTGGCCTGTCAGGACACACGCATGCATCCTCCCAGGCCAAGGAAAACTTGGCCCCAGCAGAGCAGAGCAGGGTGGCTGGCGAGTAGGGATGGCCACAGCCTGAGCCCAGCCTGGCCTGAAGGTGAGCAATTTTCCTTAAAATGCAGTCTGGCAGGCTCAGGAATGCCTGCTCAAAGGCTTCCCTGCAGATTTATTGTCCAACATGTCATCCTGCTTGGAAATATCAGCACAGAGGATCAGGAGAAGCTGTGTGAAGAAAATGAGCCATACCTTTTCACAGGGTTATCTTTATCAGCAAGAGGATTTCAGCCACCTTCAGTCCTGTTGCTGCTAATGACATTCCTTCTGTGGGTGAAATCCCATAGATGTTCTGCTTGTGAAGTGATTTGGTGAACAAGGAAAGAGAACCCAGGACCCCTGCTGCCAATCTTCTTTCCAAGCTGTTACACAATACCATTCTGGGGTTAACAAACCAAAAACATCTGGGAATAATCAAAGCTATTTAGGCTCTGAGAAAGCATGGCTGGAGAAAGTTTGAAGGAAGCAACTTGAAAGCTCAGCTTAAAACAGTCTGGAAGCCCTGAAAATTAAAACTAGGGTAACATCTACAAAGAGTGAGCAAGTATCAAAAGAAGGATCTAATATCCTCTGAGGAGCAGAGAGGAGCCGGAATGAATTGCAATGCTTGAGCTTCTAAGCTACAGGGCATTAAAAAATTACTTTGGAACAAACAGATCTGCCTTTCCGGTGGTTTCCACTGGCATGAGAGCAGAGGGAAAGACCAGGGGTCTGGCTTAAAAGCAGCTTAGGGATTGGAAGTGTGATTTAAAGACAGATAATTTCAATCTCCACAAGCCTGGTAATGGTGCAGAGCTCACAGTGAGCAGTACCTGCCAGGGCTGGGTCAGGGAGCACTCAGGGCACGCAGCAGAGATTTGGGGCCCAGTGGCATCCCTGGCAGGAGGGCACCAGGCAGACAACAGCTGGGTAAAGGAGCAATGGAACCTGCAGGCTTTGCTTTGCAAGTGGCAGGATGTGTGCTTGGGCTGATGATGGCATTGCCACCACAGGCTGTGATTCCTGGGGGATATTCCTCGTGGAGGGTGGCAGTGCTTTGCTGTCTCTCATGGGGAGAACATGCTCAGGTCTATTCTGGTGTGGGAGCACAAACCATCCTGGGATCATCCTGGTGGATAACCCAGCACTGGCAGCTGGAAATACTGTCCATGGAGTGTCCAGCTGGCAGCAGGGACTGGGGGGCTCTGTGTGCTTGCTGAGCTACCTGCAGCACTGACCCTGCTCCTTCTGCAGGAGCTGGAGGCTGCTTCCCTGGAGTGACTCAGGGAGCCAGCCCTCATCGATGGAAATCCCCTCTTTTAGCATCACAGGAATCAAAGTCTGTCCCTGGGAAATCTCACTGCTGCTCATCTCTAGAAGCTTTAATCTTGGAAGGCCTCTCTCAGTGCTTTCCATTCCCTCTCATATCACTTTACATCTGCTATTCCTACCCCTGGCTGGGTATGGGGTACAAGCCTCCAATATCTCCAAGGGATGGAAAAGTAGCCTGGGTATGGGGAGGGGGAACACACTGCAGGAAGGACAGTGGCACAGCCAGCCACCACAGGAGCTGTGGAAATTGCTAAAGATTTGGGGAATCCAGATTTACTGCATCTTCTGTGGCAATCTGGCCTCCACAGCATCCTTGTAAATGAGAAACCACATAAGCCTCACACTCTATTATTGCTTCAGAGCATTAGAGTCCTCATTTAGGATAAACATTCTCATCTCCAGCAGAGCATGAATAACATTAAATGAGATAGTTAAAATGTTTCAGGCCAATTATAGCCCTGGTGTAACTTCGGCAGAGTTACACCAGGGATTAATTTGATCCGGAGAGCTCTGCCTCCTGTTCCAAACTGGGATTCCAGCACGGGTAATTACATCCTGCCTCTCTGCACTTCCTCTGGAGTTTTAATTGGGTTGAATGGACTCAACTTCTGCTCTTTTCCTCAGAAAGCCATGAAATTTCCAAACTGCTACAGGAGCCAAAGGAGCTGTGTGCTGCATCCCTGCCCTGCTAGTGCAGGCCAGGTCTTCCCTGGCTGTGGGGGCACACCTGTACCTTCTGCTGGTAAACCCACCACCCCAGTCTTATGGTGGGGATCCAGCCCTCCCATCCCAGCCTGGATCCCAGACCAGGATCCCTGTGCACTGAGACAGGCAGCTGGACTGTCTCCCCCTTCCACTTCCCAGCCCTCTCAGCAAGTAAATCAGCGTTAATGAGGGACATTTGACCCCCTCTTTCCCTGAACAGCCTCATGAAGCATTTTTGTTCCATGAGATAGTTAAGAAATTTGAAGCAATTTCCTCTACTTGCTTCTACTGTAGTTTTTTTCTTGGTTTTCTTTTGTTTGGTTGGTTTTATGTTGGTTTTTTTTTTTTGAGAAAAGGAAAAGTTATAGGCCACACACAGCCTTTAGGATGCCTCAGGAGTGGGAGCAGAGGAGAAACAGCAGGGTGTGATGTGGAGGGGATGGAGCAGACAGGGCAGCTGAGATGAGGTGACCCCAGTCTTGGTCCACTTGGTTTGTCAGAGAGACCACATGTGCAACTGAGACAAGAGGGTCAGAGCTGGGAAAGTGCACATGCTGGCTGTGATTAGGAATTTAATTGGGAAGGAATTGAATTCCGAGGCATTATCTCACTGAGCTGGAGCAGTACAGAGCCATACATCCTCCATAGCCAACTGCATACAGGGGCTGGAGCAGAGGGAAGGGTGCTGGGAACAGTCTCCCTCGCAGATTTCCAGGACTTTCTGCTGCTGTGTGGTCCACTTCCCTTCTCAGAGAGAAATGATGAAAACAGACAGCCTGATAAACCCCGGGGAGCTGGGCCCAGCAAGGCCCCACAGCTCCACCCTCTCCTCCAGAATGTGTGGGACTGGTCCCACACCACCTCCACTCCCCAGCTGGGGCTAGCCCACTCAATGTTTCACTTCCCTTTTTAGTTTTTCCCAAGCTGTATTGGAAAGAAGAAGAGCAGAGATGTCACAATCCTTCCTTCCTCCTCGAACAAACATCTCCTCAGTGGGATCACGACAGTGGGACCACGATGGGGGGACCATGTCCATCAGCATCCCTCAGAAAAACACTGGTGACACCATTCCTGACCTGTGAGGGCTTCCACCACCAATTCTGTGTTTCTCATGAAATGGAGGGTGGTTTTGGCCAGCAGAGAGGACACAATGAACAAATTAAGTGAATTCCCACTCCCACCCACCAAGGGACCATCCCAAATCTCGGTGCAAGCAGCAAACACCTCTCCATGGCCAGCAAGCCTTGCCAGCCGCTGGCTGCAGGCACTCACCCGCTCTGAGCTCAGCCCCTGGCTGAGTAAATAAAGAACATTTCTCACCAAATCCACCCTCTCAGAGGTCCCCAGGCAGAGAGCTGGCCTTTCCATGGCTCAGGAAACCTTTATCCCCCAAATCGACACCAGTCCCTTGCAGCTGATTTAGCAAGCCCTGTTTGCACACCCAGTTTTGCAGGGCAGTGACCCTGTCCCAGCAGCACTGTGACATTTGCAGGCACCATTTCCATCTGGCCCCATGTTGTCCTTTCTGGGAGTTTTTGAGTGCTAATCCAGATGGGGAGAAAGGTCAGAGTTATTGATGGAAAGGTCCAGACTGAAATCTGGATTTTCTCTGATCCCAGAATGTGTCTGGGTTAACCCTGCTCCAGTGGGCTCCCCTCAGTGAGGTTCTGCTCCAGTCTTGGGGGGTGTCATAGCCCCAGCATGTACCCATCATTCTTGAGGCTCCTCTCAATCCTGTTTCTGACCTTGCAGATCCTCTTTGTTGCTCATTTCTGCCCACCAAGACTGAACAGCACCTCTCAGCTAAGCCCTTGACCTTTATTTTGCCTTAAATCAATACATAAAAGCCATTCTACAGCAATACCAGTATGTCAGGGGAATCCAGGTGATTCATATCATCAGAGAAGCTGAATCTGCTTTTGAGGCTCAATCTTGGTAAGCCTTTGTCTTTTCAGATTCCAATCTTTTCTGTGCTGCCTTCAGCACAGCATTATATTCATCCCCTGACCCCCCCCTTCCTGGCATTATTGACTCTGTATCTTGCTTTTAATCTGCTATAAAATGAAGGTAGCTCCAGGTAAAACCAGTTTTATTCCTCCTGATCATAATACGTCTTTTGCCAAAAAGAAGAAAAGAAAAATGCTCAACATGCGTTGAAGAAGCTTAATTTAAAAACTTACAGGGGAAAAAAATCTATTAGGAAAACTCTACAGACATTTGTGAAATTCTTGGTATGGAGAACCAAGCTGCTGGGAGCTCTTGTCCTGTGTCTGGCCTTACCTCTGAGGCAGGGAGGTGACTCTACAACCACAGGATGGGGAGAGGGTGCTGACATCAGCCAGGAACATCCTGGGCAGGAGACACATCCCAGGTTTCTTCCCCACCATCAGCCTCTCTCCTTCCCCCATTCCTGTGGCTCTCAGAAGGAGCAAACAGCCTGGTTTGGGTGCAAACTGGGTATATTTGGCACTGAAAATTCATGCCAGCCATGGTGAGGCCAGCACAACTTTGCCCATGGAAAAGATTCAGCTTGTGACTGCTTCATTCACCAAAAAACCAAAAATTTGTCTCCTTCTGTCTAATATCTATTTGCAAAAGCTTTGGGAGCTGCTTTTGCAGTTGGGTTGAAGCTGATGTTTGCGAGCCCACCCCTCCCAATGACTGACCAGCACACCCTGATAGACATTTCCCATCAGAGCATTTATTTTTACAACAGGACACCGAGTCCTCAAACAAACGAAGGCTTGCACAAGAAATAGTCTGCCTCAGTTTGGCAGCAAACAGGAATATTTCTCTTTATTCTAAACCCAAATTTTTGTGGCTAAATAGAGCCAAAAATATATCTCACCCCACTACTTCTCCCAGACACAAGTCATCTCTGAATGCTGAAAGCAACTCTTCCCCTGCCACAAATGGACCAAACAAACCCAGCACGAGACTGGTGCTTAGGAGAAGCCAATGTGCCTCTAGTGCTGTCATCTACAGCGAGCTGTGTCTGCAAACTGATCTTTTATTAATGGATTTACATCCATGGGAAAGCTGTGGAGCACGTGAGAACCCCATGGCTGGGAGCAGGACCCCCGATCCCTCTGTGCCTGCAGCTGGGGCTGCTGGCCACGACCCAGGGCTCAGCCTCACACAGGCAAATTTCCTTCCTGCCCCAGTGTTTAGCCCAGAGCCTGGTCCTCTCTGAGCTGTGGGAGGGCAGCTGGGTGGTGTGGGTTTGTTGCTGTCATGGGTTGTTTTGCCGAGGGTTTCAGCAGGTGCCAAGGCTGGGATGTGCTCAGTGCCGGCTGCAGAGGGCAGGGAGCTGCAGGACGAGAAGGAGTCGTGGTTAATTGGTGAATTGTGGTTAATTGTTTGTTGAGAGCTGGGACAGAGGAGGTTAGAAGCCTTGGGGGATCTGCCAAAGGAAACGCAGGGCATGGTGAGTCCCTGACCTGCCCTGGGCATTCAGCAGTGCCCAGGGGGGATTAGGAAAGACAGCTATGACCCCAGTTTCTCCCCATAGTCCAACCCAGTGTCCCCTTACCCTTGATGCCAAATATTCCCTCCCAGAGCCAAGGCTGCGGTGTGTGAGTGACCCAACCTTTGCTGGGAGCTGCACAGGAACACTCCAGAGCCAGTCCTCACTCCCTGGGGTCACTGAGCAGGACACAAAGTCCCAAATCCCACATAGAATCACAGTATGGTTGAGGCTGGAAGGGACCTCAAAGACCATCTTGTTCCAACCCTCTTCTACTAGACCAGGTTCCTCAAAGCACCATCCAACCCATCCATCAACACTTTCAGGGGTGTGGGCATCCACATCCTCTCTGGGCAACCTGCACCCACCCCTTGCACCCCATCCCAGCTGGATCACCACTGGCTCTGCTGCCTTTCTGTCCCTACGAGATGCTCCTGGCATCCAGGCAGCAGGCGGGAGGCCACAGAGAAACAGCTGGCCATGCCCTCCCCTGGGAACAGAAATGCTACTGAAAGTAATGGAAAAAATGGGGTTTTCCCTTCTAATCCAGCCATTCCAGCTTTAACTTCCTTTCTCCAGAGCAAGACACTTTTCTTGAGACTTCACAGCTTCAGCAATAGGCAGGAATACCAATAAAATCCCGGGTGAAACACAAAAAAAATCACCATTGAAAAACTTGAAGGTGAAGACCAGGTTTTTTGCACGTTCTTCCCCCAGTTTCCTCAGAGCTGCATCATCCCAGATAACTGCTGCATCCCACCTGGTCTTTTCTCCAAAGTGCTGTTACGTGGTGTGAGGGTCAGAGCCAGCCTCTCTCCTGATCTCTTCCTCTCCCTCGGAGTACCTGGGGACAGAGGAGATGGGGTGAGCTGTGGGCAGTGGTGCTGATTGCAGCCCCTGTCTAAAGGAAAGTGATAACTTGCTCCAGTAAAAGGGCATTTTTGCACTGAAGAGCAGAGCCCTCAGTAAGAGCAAACCCTTCTTTTCCCCACATCCCCCCAGCTCTGCAGAGCATTGTGCAGCAGCAGGAACGAATCTCCCTTACAGGGCACCAAGCAGCTCAGCTCCAGTCCCACAAGGAATTGCTGCAGCACAGTTTAGCCTGGAATATGCTGATTTTATCCAACAATTCTTTTCTTCTTCCTTTTTATTTCCCAGGAAATAAATAAATCATGCAAGTCTTCCATCACCCACTCTCCAAGCAGCTGTCCCCGTATCACGGCCCATGCTTCCCCTGGGATTTGGAACTGGGTCAGTGAGCAACATCCAGCACTGGTTCTATCCACTGAAATTCATAGAAAGCAGATATGGCCCCCGGCTACTTTGCTGCAACTTTGCCTTTTCAGCACAAATCTCAGCCAGCCTGGGAAGGGCAGGAGGAGCAGGCTATGCCCAAGCACAACCCTCAGAGGGACCAGGGGATCTGCCAGCAGCACTTCCCTGCATCCCTCTGCCACATTGGTGCTCATGGCTTTGCATGTTTGCTACCTGGTAGGGGCTGGATGTATTTGAACTTCCATCCCCTGCCAAACTTGGCTGAAATAAGCCAGCAGGCTTGAGAGCCATCTGGGGGAGCAGGCATGGACACACACACACAGAGCACACAGCACTTACTGCTGGGGAAACCAGGCAAAAGAGGGAGCAGCTTCATCCTGTGATTGTGCCCCTGCTCTTCGGACAGGTTTTTCTCTGCCCTGTTATACCCCATGGTACAAAGGAAATTTGTTCTCAATGGGTTGGGGACTGGATCTTGGGACAGAGCTTGTCTCATCATAGGGAACATGGCTGAAATGGGACCTCCTCAAGCTGCCCTGCAGAGACCAGCAAGGTGGGTAAAACCTATCCCTACCTCTTGATATCATTGGCTTTTGCACTTGTGCTCCTTTGCAGTGCTAGAATTTGGGGTGACTTTCAGTAACTTGCTCCAAAATCAGAAGGAAAAGCCAGAGACTCTCTCTGAGTCACTGGCATGTTGTTACCAAGGACACTAAGGTTCCTGATTTTGAAGAAGAGATTAATTACATTCTACAAATAGACATTTTATCTGCACTGAAGAGCAGCAAGAGCAAGTTCTTTTAGCGTGGCTCATTATGTATCAGCAGGTAGTATTGTGACAGATGTAGGAATGCAGTCGTATTGTCACTGGGGTTTAATCATCAGAGAGCTGTCTTCCCCAGGTCAGCTCCCTGGGAGGATTTGTAATATTTACATAGCACTTGGGGCTGGCTTCTTTATTGCCAGAGTCTGTATTCACTCGTCAGTCTCTCATTATGCATGTGCCAGTATTAATTGCATTTAGAAATGAGATTCTAAAGCAGAAGTGAGAGCTATTTAGACCTCCATTCAGCCTGAAAGACAGCAGCCTTCTGTGTGACAGCTCTCGAGATGTTCTTGTGCTCAGCTCTCTCCCCAGCTGAAAAGCAGGTGTTGGAGAGAGTTGGTGTCAGAGCCACTGTATCAGCACTGCCTTTTGTGCATGCCCAGACATTTATATAACCAACAGGATAATGACTCCGCAGAAGTGGCACAGAATTGACCCTTCTGGTACTGGATTGAAAACAGCCAGGGAGAGAGTGGATCTGCTCAGCTGCTGTGCAGATATGGGGGAAAGCAATGCTGAGCCCTATCTCCTGTGGAAAGAAGAGGGGTGTTCCCTTGCTGGTGGGTTTGGGAGTTATTTATCAGCTCGCCTGTGCCTGCAGCACTTTGGGGCTGTGTTTGTGGCCTTGCTAATGTATTGAAAGTGTACAGAAATTCGGCTGACACTTGTCTGTGCCTGCCTGCTGCGCTCTGATTGCTCCAGCCTGGAGAAGCAGAGCCGTGTGCCACCGCTGCTGGCTGCCAGCCGTGCCTGGCCAGTGGAAATGAGGAGGTCATGTCCTGCTTCCCAGAAGGAAATAAGCTGGAAGGTTAATCTAGATGATGCCAGGCTACTGGCTCTGCTTTCCCCAGCCTCAAGTGCAGAGGGTCTGTTCTTGCCTTGCAGCACAGCGTGGGGTACAACAAGAGTGCTCTGGGGGGAAATCAGCACAGGCACGAAACACTCCCTCTCTCCATCACCCTGGCTCCCAGTCCCAGGAAAACAACCCTCTGGGGCCCAGGGGATTCATGTCCAGCCTTTTGGGAGGGGACTCAAAAAACAACAATAAAGCAAACCCACTTCTCACTTCCCAAAGCACCTCCTTTGCTTTGTCATAGTCCAGCACTGCCTCACCAAGCCTGAGACCTCTCCAGGAGCTCTCCATGGAGGACATCTCACAGACAGACTCTTTCCAGCTGGGTCCTCTGTGTGACCTGTGCCCTTCTGGGTGCTCCTGTACTCCCTCGGGTGCTCGGTCCCCTGCATCCCCCGTGCTGGACCAGCACCAAGACCAAACCCTGTGTTCCATGCCATCAGCATCTCTGCCTCCCCAAACCCAGGAGCAGACAGTGAGCAGCTCCTGCCAGGAAGAGACTGGAGGGGAAGAACATGAGAAAGGCAAACAGAGCAGACATCCATAGCCAGCCCTGGCCCCTAGCCAGGACCTACTCGTTAAATATCACACAAAACAAAGAATAAATCACTGCTTGTTGAGAAAATCTAAGCACTGGAGCCCAAGGAGTCCCTCTTGACCTTCCTGTCTCTTGACAGCAGGTTAGTTCAGGATAGTGTTCCAGTTTGCTTTTCAACTCCGGGAAGGGGTGGGGATAACAGATCCCACAGCTGGGATGCTGGGAGAAATCCCTTCAAACCTCTCTGTTTGAGATGGTGGCAGCCAGCTCCCATGGCTAATCCCATGGCTGAGCCCCCCAGCTCTGAGAGGGTGGGCCAAGAAGAACCTGTGCCATTCCTGGCAGCCCCAAGGCATATAAATAGAAGACAGGGACGTGAAGGAGGTCAAGTGAGCAGGGGATTTCACATAATCTGATCTTGCCTGTGCTGTTCATTTGTGTCCTTTGCACACGAGGACGTCAGAGGCAGAGGGTTGATCCTTCACCGAGCCAGGTTTATCCCATGGAACATGTGGGCTCCTGACTTTTTCTTTACATGTGCTATTTCTCAGGGATGTCTTTAATCCAGCAGTCATCCAGAGTAGTGCACATATGGAAAATCCTGGTCTTTGTTGCTGTTTGGGGTCCTGGTGCCTGAGCAGCCTAAGCCTGGTTGTCTAGTTGGCCAAAATCCAGTTGGATCAATACAGCAGTGGGGCTCTGGTGCCTGGGTCTGTTCCTGGTCTTGAGGATGCTGCCTGCCCTTCACAAGATCCACTGTGCCTTGGTCTCCTGCACCACTTCTCCCCAGCAGCACATTTTTCTCTTGCTTCTGCTGCTTTTCTTTTCCAGGACATGAAAGTCTGGAAACAGAATCTCTCTTGGTGTAAAGCTGTCAGTGGAACAGCTCTGATTTATGCTAACACCAAGCAAGGTGAGTAGATGAATGTCCAAAATAGATCAAGTAGAAAAGTTGTTAAAAGCCACTGGTCTTTAATGGTGAGAGTAAACTTTTTATTAGCAAAAGAACTAATCTAGGAGTGTACAGCTTTTCTATGGGCTGCAACCAGACCAGGTGCCTGTCTGAAGACTGCAGCAGGACTTGAAGGAAATTTTTCCTGGCCATCCAGCTCTGAATCTCCCTCATGCTCCCAAGTCCATACCATGATGGGAGCCCTTGTGCTCATCCCAGCTTTTTCCTGCTGGTGCTGGCACCAGCCACATTCTCCCTTTCTTCTGTGCTGCTGCTGCTGATGATGATGATGGTAGTGGTGGTGATGATGAAGCCAGTTGGGTGAAAGGACTGACCAGGCTACAGGCCCCCAGTTTAAATGTGGTGGAAGGAATGTCAAGTGAAAGTAGCCAGGGCAGCACCATGCTTGTCCCAGGCCCAGCTTTTAGAGCTCCAGGCTCCTTCCTATCACCCTGTGCACAGATTTGTGCTTTATTCACTGCTTGCTGCTAAGGAGCTGACCCTGCACACTGCTCCCCTGGGCAGGGCTTGTGCTGCAGCTGGATCTGCCTGTCCAGGGCTGGAGCACTGGGCTGTCTGCACACTGCCAGCTACGGTGCCATCATTCCAGGTGACTTGTCCCCCAGCTATGTACCTGCCCATTCCCCCTGCAGCTTCCCAAGGGATGGACCTGCAGTCTGCCAGCCTTGCCAGTCGCCCCTGTAGCCTTTTCCCAGAAACCCCCACCTCTGCAGCTCATTTGCTCAAACACTTAATGAGTGTTTAATTCAGCCGGTGCTGCAGGTAACACAGGACAGCCAGGGGCACAGAGGCCAGGAGATGCCTTCCCTGCTTTGAGTCTTGTTTCTCCCTCCCCTGACTTAATCAGCTCATTAAGTGCCAATTTGACCTCCCCACTTTCAGATGTCTCCAGTCTCCACTGGTAAATAGATTTGTGCGTCTCCAGCGGAAACCTCCTGAGCTGAGCCTGCTGTTGGAGCAGGCGGCTGCACAGCGATGCTCGGGCTCGCCGTGAGCGCGGCCCCGCTGCCACCGAGCTGAAGCCAAGCTCAGCTCGGTGCTGAGCAGGAACGAGACTCCCTCCCAAAAGACATGGGGAGCCGCAGGTAGTGGAAGCCGCAGCCGCCGGCACCGTGCCCATGGCGCAGCGGGGATGCACCGAGCAGGAGGTGACCCTGCCCTCCTGTCGCAGCTTTGTCATTGCCTCGGTGTGGGACTGCAGCAAGTCCCTTCCCATCTGCTCCCTGCCTTCGCCTTGGAGCCAGGATGAGTGTGAGCGTGTGTGTGAACACGGAGCGCAGCGCAACAGGGTGCGGGTGGTGGCTGCTGGCTCTTTGCAGAGCCAACGTTTAGCTGATGCTCTAAAGCATTCCACACGGCCAGACACTCATCCAACCTCCTGGAGCGATAAGGATGGAGCAGGACCTCCCCAGGGCTGTTTAACACCCGTTGAGTATCAGTGTCAGCCTGGTGATGTCCCCACAGCTGAAATCACTGCTCAATCTCCTCCCAAGCCGAGGCATGAAGACAGTCAGGCAGCCAGGCTGCGGGACTGCTCCATTTGGGAAACACTTTGATCAGTGCTTATAAAAGCATCCCAGTGGTTCATCCCTGGCCCTTTGCACCAGACAAATAGGAGGACCAGTCCTTCATTTCCTCCTTACCGGCACTGGTGCATCGGAGAGGAGGTGACAGCACATCACAGAAGGCTCCTCTCTACCCAGCTCGAGCGAATGTCTCCTGTGTCCTCCAGAGAACCGAAACCAGAAGGAACCCAAACACCTCCATGAACATGCATAGGTTGAGGAGTGAGATCCTCCACCCCAGGGCCTCCCCTCACCCTGCCATCCGCAGCCCCAGAGCCCCGAGGGGACAGGAGAGGACGTACGGTTCGACTTTGTTGCAGAAGCGGCGCCGCAGCAGG